AAAAGAAGAATTGGGTTTCATGCTTTAGCTTTGTGCTTGTCCTTTAGGCTTTGGAATAATCATACTTGCTGGGACTGAAGCACTTGATGGTAGGCAGGCTATGGATTGATTGAAAACTTAGTGAGTTGCTTTTTTCCCTAATAGTTCTAGCCATACACTTGTGGCCCTTCCCAGATGAGATGTAATGTGATGCAGGATTTTTTATCATAGAAATGATGGGTAAATTCCTAACTCATAATGCCACATTTGTGGTCCTTTTCCTGGCAGATAGGCAAATAGAGCCTCTGCTCTATTGGCAAATGTCCTTTACCGAGCTATTTACAGAGACAGTGATTTTATGAGAAGATGCTCCATTTTCAAGAAATAGACTCATCATTCCAGGAAGGGAACTAGCTACTGAAATATGACAAACTTTACAAAAGATATTTTATCCCTTTTGGTGCAAATCTTTCTTGTCTGGTTGGTAAATATATCCCCAAGGATGCTTGAGAGGAGTAGAAGAGGCTAAGATTTCTTGCTTGCAGTGGCCCTGGGTATCTAGGTCTCCTGAGACCTTGGCTTGATGTGCTCTTTGTAGACTCTGAGAAGGTGGCACAGAAACTTCGGCTCCAACGCAGATTTACAAAGGTTATAGCTACAACTCAGGTAGCACTCAGACTCAAAAACTATTAACTTTTAGCTTGAGATTTGGGATTGAGATTCTCCATCTTTCATTCAGATGGTCCCCACTGGAGTAAAAGCACTAAGAGAAAGGAGAGCAAAAGTCCTTAAATGATCATGTCAACTCTGAGTTCCGAGTGGAACCAGTTCCTGTAAGTCCTTGGAGTGTAACTCATCACTACTGAACACACCTTCGATATTATCCACAGATAGAGCATCAGTCCTGGTTATTCAGGACGTAGAAACTGCTGCTGCTATAGATAACTAGTGCATGCTCTTGGTCCTAAATAAGGCATAGATTACAAGAATTTTAACTTTGGCCATGGATATTACTCACTTATTTCTGGTCTGATCTCAGCTGGAATAGTTACTTGACAAGGCATTCATGTGGCCGAGAAACTCTGCCTCTTTTATTTAAGCTGCTGATAGATTTAGCTGTTCCCTCTTTTGAAGATTTGCACATTTCCTGGCTTACTTGGAACTGGTACCATGTGGGATCAAAGATGACTTGAGACCCTGTATTAATTCTAATAAATGTTAAAACAAAAGTTAAGCTCCATTTTCTGGTTCCTGTTGTAACTGGAAAGAATAGCTCATTCACAAGAAGAGAATGAATTAAATATTCAGAACAGTGTGCCTTATCTATTCCAAATGTGGATATAGATAAACGCTTTGCCTTCCCCTCACTCTTATCATACAGCAAAGAAAGTCACATTTGGTAACAACTCTGGGGCCCTCCTCTGGGTCTTTAGTTCTGGGGAGGAGGGGGCCAGCTGTCTTTTACTGCCCATGACCCCTCTTGTTCCACAGCTTTGTCTCCCTATTGCTGCAGAGATGTTCATCATGATGGATGGTGCTGTTGCTACCCGTGCCATGCTCCTTCAGTCTCCTTTGTTGATGTATGTGGGTGTATGTGGGTATCTGGGAATAATTTTGCTTTAGCGAAGATAGAAAACATCCCTCAACTTTGCTTGGGGCTTGGGTCCCCAAATGCCAACCTGAATTCAATTTTATGGACCATCTCATGAACTTATCTCAGAGTTCAGGAGTCTTATAGCGCTTCTAGGATTACTATTCTCTCTACCCAGAATCATGGCCCTCAACTTGTAAATCTCCAACATAGGAGCTTAGAGAAATAAAAGGAAAAATAAAACCTGGCAAACTAAATTCCTATTGATGACAAGTGGTCTAATATTTCAGTTCTGTGATATTTTCTCAGGTTTTTTTAGTCACAAAAATGTTCTTGCTGGATAGTGAAAAGTCTGTAGGCTTTTAGTGTGGTAGTGTAGTTCTATTGCGTGAAGGATATAAATGATTCCAAGATATTTCAGAAGAACCAAGGATTGTTAGCATTGTTCATTACCAATACAATTATATGACTCCATTTCTAAATGGGGTCCAAGGTAAGTTTCAGTTTCTTTGTAAGTAAAATGGAGGAAGTAATTTTTACCTAATGTGGTTGGTGTGAAAATTAATGCAACAAAACTTAGCAGTATGTTTGGCATGGAACAGTGTGAAGGATTAGTTACTCAGTCTTTTCCAACTCTTTGCGACCCCATGGACTATAAACCACCAGGCTCCTCTGTCCATGGAATTCTCTAGGCAAGAATACTGGAGTGTATTGCAATTCCCTTCTCCATGGGATCTTCCTGACCCAGGGATCAAAACTGGGTCTCCTGCATGGTAGGCAGATTATTTACAGTTTGGAATGGAATAAGCACCTGATAAAGGTATAGCCATACACACGAACACACACACACACACACACACACACACACACACACTTTTATTTCCGCTCTCAGTTCTTGTCCACTTACACCCTCTGTTTATAAAACTCTGTCTAGCCCTTACTCTGGCCCAATTTCTAGTATTTAACCTGTTGTTACTGATGTTCCTGTCTTACTGTTCTTTACATGGTCATACGTATCTTTGACCTACTACAGTGACTTTTGAAGGGAACCTAGTTATGGTGGTGATTTTATGATTCAAACCTTGTTTGAAAGATGATGAACATGTCCAGAGAATGTAGGTAATTTTCCCTAAATCACACGATTATCAAATCTAGATTTCTGAGTTGTCAATGTTGTCTTTTACTCGTGTCCCCAAGACCTTTGGACCTATGAGGAAAGTCTGGGCAAAGCATGGGATTTAGATTGATAAAGGATTATGGTCATAGGTAAGAGAGGACTTAATAGTGATAAGATGGTTATAAGTCATGTGACCTTGTGCAAAGTACTTATTTTTCCTGTTTTAAGATAATATGTACCCTGCTTACCTCATAGGATCTTGTGAGATCTGGATTCTAGACAATGTGGGTGAAAATGTTTGTAAACTGAAAAATGCCGTATAAATACTAATTTTATTATAAACACATAACACTGTGTGGTGTATATATAACTGTTATAGGTATGCATGCATATGCAGGTGTATGTGTGCATGCGTGCTAAGTTGCTTCAGTTGTTGCTAAGTTGCTCTTTGTGACCCTATGGACTGTAGCCTGCCAGGCTCCTCTGTCCCTGGGATTCTCCAGACAACAATATTGGAGTGGATTGCCATGCCCTCCTCCAGGGGATCTTCCCAACCCAGGGATCAAACCCACATCTCTTACGTCTCCTGCATTGGCAGGAAGATTCTTTGATGCTAGCGCCACTAGGGAAGCCCATGTAGGAATATATGTATAGCTTAATAAATGAATGTACTTTTAATAGAAACCATTTTTAGCAAAACTCAATCCTTTGCATATCTTTTATCTGTGCTGTCCAATTCATAATCATCTGTGGTAGGCTCTCCATGTACTGCAAAGGGAGCTCAATATCTTGGAGGTTAGACTAAGAATGGGGAAAAATGCAGATAGATATTTTGTTGCATTTGAATCCAAGTCAACCATTTGGGTCCCTAGCAGGTAGGAAAGCCCCATGCCCATAGTGTATCAGGAGACATTGACTTGGAAAGGCTCATTAAATGGAAATATCAAGTCTTTTTCAGCTTCATAGATATTAAGATTATTCTTTGACTTTCAGTGGATAATTTACTAAAATTAACTACTCTCTTTATGATTTAGAAAATGAAATAGGATTCTAGTTTCTGGTCATATAGGAATATATAAAGAAAATGCCGAAACTGCAATTTCATTGCAACTTGGGGACCTTCTGCAGTTGACTGGTGTTGATGACTTAGAGGACTGTCCAGAAAGAGATTTGAGGCTGAATGTAGATCGTCGGACAAGTGTTGTAATCCATCTATCAGTGTCTGCCATAGATTCAGATGGGAATAATGCATGTACATAATGGAAATAGCACCAAGCCCTTGGTTATAATGCCAGGTTATAATGCATATACCCGGAAGATCTTGAATAAGACCCTTAACCACTCAGAACTTCAGTTTTCTTCACTTGCAAAACAATTTACATGGCCAGACTTCCCACTGGGAAGTGGTCCTCTCTGGTTTTTTCAATCTTCTGTTACTGAGAGAAGTGCAGTTAACACAATTTTATTCTTGTTCATGGAAGTATACTTTTACTACGAATATAACTATCTTTAATAATTACAAAAGTGTGATTCTACCCTGCTTACCTGTAGGATCTTGTGAGACCTAGAGTCTAGAGAATGTGTACATAATATTAAGACACAAATAGTGGCTTCAGATCCTCCAGTTTTTGAAGTAGTAAACTCTCCAGACCATCAAGAATATGAAAGAAATTCTATTCCTTTTAAAATGTCTTTTGTGAACATTCTTTTGGCTATAGCTGAGGAAAATAAAATTAATAATTATATTTTTGAGGGATGGAAGCTGAATGTGTTTGTCTTGGAACCATTCATCATCCTTCTGTGACTCAAAATGAGAGAGAGAATTGCTAAATCTTTATTCTCCATTAAGAAAAAGGAATCAAATGCATACTTCCCTCCTTTCATTTAATATAAACATTTATTAAATATTTTATCCTCCCAGCTTTCTAAAGTCAGGCTTAACCTTGACTCTAGATTTTTTTTTGCCTTATTTTAGCAAAATTGTTTTTTCCAATTAAAAAATTCTACACATTGCAGCATGTATTCAAATGGTATGAACCCCAGAAAGTCAACAGTGGCATCTCCTCACCTGAAGTTTTCCAGAGGGAATCCCTCATGTGCTGCAGGCTTCTTCTACACATCATTTTCTTTCTCTGGGCTTTATGGTTTTATTTTATTCCATATTCTAATTTTATGTAAAGGGCTGGAAAGTTACGGATGGCCACTCGACATCATCATTAAGGCTAGTGGAGGGGATTAGTGAATTTAGGTCGTGTTTGCCATTGGCTTTTGAGGAAAAGAGCCCCTGTCTAATCACTTGGTCTTTGTTTTCAGATCAAACTCCAACCCCAACGAGATTCCTGAAGAACTGCGAGGAGGTGGGGCTCTTCAATGAGTTGGACTGCTCCCTAGAGCATGAGTTCAGGAAGGCTCAGGAGGAAGAAAGCAGCAAGCGGGTAGGTTCACCTGGATAGATGCCTGGACAAGTGTCTCCTCTAGCACCTGCTAGACACGTCTGTGTTGAAACTAGGTGGCATTGCGTGTTGTGCTGATGTGGCTCTAAAACAGCATTTTATCCATTTGCAAGTGCTTTATGTGGTTTTTTTTTTTTAATGGATGAATCTCTGGTTGTGGTAGAAAAATCATGGGAAAAGCAGATTATATGAAATATGGAATTCAAGCCAAAAAATTATCTTGATTTTTTTTTAATTGGAGGATAATTGCTTTACAGTGTTGTGGTGGTCTCTGCCATACATCAGCACGGATCGTAATTATTCTTGACTTGAGTCAGATAAACTCATGGAATTTTCCATTCAAAACTAGTTGTTTTACTTTGCTGAATAATGGCAAGATTTCCATGGGTGGTAAGTGCAGAAGGCAAGGACCAGAGGGTAAGATGACAAGTGAAGGATCATAGCAGTAAGAGAGAGGATTTCATCTGATCTTGACCCAGGCTATAACTGTCTGATTTCTGTCATCTTCCTGGTGTCTTTCTACCACATTTCACGGTTCCTTCTTGGTCATATTATCGTGTATTTGTTGTTGTTGAAATAACAACAATAAGTGAAATAGGTTCACTGTAAGTGTGCATTATTTGTTCTTACAAATGTAGAAAATCTACTTTATGAATCCCTCCAGAATATACTGTTTTTTTTATTGTAATGTTGTGCCTGCATTTAAAAATCACTGTATCAGATTAAGGAAAAGAAATGGAGGCACAAGTAAATAAGATAATGAAGCTTTTTAGTATTTTTTAGTTTGTTTTTATAGACCATTATTGAATGCCCACAATGTACTAAACAACAAATTAGACATATCCCATGACCAGAGACTTAAACTGTGAAAGCTGGTTGAAAGGAGGTACCAGCTACACTGTAATGGATTCTGAATTTCCAGCTGTTCCATCCGGAGAAGAAATTTTAAAAGGCTCTGATATTTCTCTAAGTGTTTTAAAACCTTTGAATCTCCCTCTATGTGAAATTATAATAATCCCTCTCCACCAGATTTTTCATGTCACTTTCTCTCATCACAATAGCCGAGGGTCTGTATTCAGTCTGTACTGCTTTAGGAAAAGTCCTGAAAATAGGTTACGAGAGGGATATAAAATCTCAAGGAACTCATTTTATTTATAATTAGTTATTCATACTTGACCATCTCCTACCTCCCCAGCCCCAACCCAGTGAAGTGTTTTTTTAAAACAAACACTTATTTAGCACTTATTTGCCAGATGCTGTTCTGAGTACTTAAAATTTTTAACTAAATAAAAATAGAAGGCATGCATTCTATATTTCATTGCAATAGAAATAGATTTTTAAAAACCATAAAAATAGCAAGGAAGAGAGGAACCAAAAAGTCTAGTAAATTTACTCTGGTTGAGTAATAAATTTAGCTCTCCTGATGGACATGACATATGGAGACAACTGGGAAATTAAGTTCATTCCTTCCTTGAGATAGTTAAGGTTGGCTTCTTCCCAACTATAAGTAAGGTGTATACTTGGTCCATATTGTCTTCATTTCTGACAGAAGTGTTTTAGTCAAGGTGTATGCCCTTGATTTTCCTGAAGATATTTACCAAGAACTGCAGCTTTAGAAGTCCATGATTGGGTTGTGGCTTTAGATCTTCTTTGCATAGTACTCACAATCTCCTATATGAAGCCCCAGGGGAGGAAATTCTTACAGATCTGAATTCCTGGAAATGGTTTGCTTCCCCTGAGGAACTGAAATATTTTCTCCTTGTGGACATGAGAATTCTGTAACCAGTTCTGTTTCTCTTTTTGCTTTGCCTGCTTGATTAACACGAAGCCAAACTGACTGTTTACCTTTGAGAGCTTTTTAGAACACGGTGATGAGCATTTTACTTCCCCACAGACTAGACTTTCAGTTCCAGTTTATATTTCCTCTGGTCCCAATTTTTAATGCAGAATGACATTTTCATGATCTACATTTTCTTTGTGTGTGTGAGTTGCTTTTGATTCTCTGTGGGTTGAGTACAAAAAAGTGTTAAAGTATTCAGGCAAGCAAAGTTGGGAGGACCATTGAAGAAATATGTTTTTATTCTCTTTCAAATGTTGCTCTTAGCAACATTAGTCATGTGATGACTTTGAGAAGGGTATGTGGGTGGGGGATCCTGCAGCCAGCTTCCCCCATGGTTTTGGGGTGGGCCGCTCAGGAGACCAGTGTCTCACACCCCAACTTTGTTTGCACGCGCTGGAAGTTGGACGGCTTTCACACTGTTGAAGTCTCCTCTTCCATTGCCTTGTTCAAGCCAGTGGGCCAAATCCAGCCTCAGTGGCCACGACTACACAAGCAGGCACTTTGTTGAGGCTTAAGACAGGGTGACTCATCCAACGGCCAAGTGAGCTGTGTTGTGACTTCTTGTGTATGCTGGTGTGTTGGTGATTTCCTTGGAAGCCACATGATGGGGAAATGAGGAGTAGGAGATGCTCTCTCATCTGCCAACATATTTCTACTCATCCCTTCAACCACATTTCTCCAGCTCCCAACATCCTTGGCACACTCTCACCACCAGCTCCTACTTCATTTATTTGTTCCCTGCTTGAATAGTAGGAATACGAGTTCTTTTTTTAAAAAAAAGTCTTTCGGTTGGGAGGCATGTGGGATCTTAGTCCCCTGACCAGGGGGTGAACCTGTGCTCCCAGTATTGGAAGCATGGAGTCTTAAACACTGAACCCCCAGGGAAGTCCTGGAATACAAGTTCTTTATTCAGGGCATACCTTGTCATCATTAAGTTCTGTCTCCTCCTTCATCCCTTTTGCTGCACATTCAGATAACAATTCCTTTTTAATTCTATACTCCAACTCTCTTCTAATTTATTTTCCTCTGAGACTGTTAATAGAAGATTTGCATTAGTTCCCTCATGCTAAATCACTTCAGTCGTGTCTGAGTCTTTGTGATCCTATGGACCGTAGGCTGCCAGGCTCCTCTGTCCATGGGATTCCCCAGGTCAGAATGGGGTGGGTTGCCATGCCCTCTTCCAGGGGATCCTCCCAACCCAGGGATCAAACCCATGTCTCTTATGTCTCCTTCATTGGCAGGTAGGTTCTTTACCACTAGCGCCACTTGGGAAGCCGATTAGTTCCCTCAGCAAGTTTCATTTTGTAAAGTGGGAGATGGATTTGTTTATATGAAAAATTTGGTTTAGAAAGATTTTTGCTTGAACTTGCTAAATACTTTATACAGAAATGTTAGAAAGACTGAGCTGGTCCTTTCCTCCACCTTTAAAATTCTAGCTGAAGTTTGGTCTAGAAAATTCTATCAAAGAGCAAATAGGGAGTTGATCGTTGTTTAGCCCATGTGGCTGTCTGTTGGGGAAAATTCTGTTCAACAGACTATCTTTAATCCTGATACCATTTCCAAAAGCATCCAAATATGTGTATAGAGTGAGGACAGGCTAGAGGCCTGGTAATGAACAGGTAATGACCAATGGAAAAAGCCCCAGTGTCTGTATCCACAGCATGTATTATATAGCAGATGACGCATTCCATAATTGCCTCAACCTTCCACCTTAGCATAAACCCATAGCTTCAAAACTCTTTAATTAGAGATATATTTTTTTCTCTTGAAAAAGCATTCCTCACTAGCAGTATCAGGATCTCAACTTGCCTAGTCAGGCTAGTGCATGTCCTGAAACAGATGAGAAACTTTTGTTCATCATTTATTCATGCAATAAATATTTTTGAGAGCCCATCACGTGCCAGGCACTGTCCAAGGCACTGGTGAATATACTATGGACTAAAGCTGATTTTAAAACAGAAAACAAAAATCCCTGACTTCAGGTTGCTTACTTCTCATGGGCAACACAAACAGTAAACAAGTAAAAACAATAGAATATATAACATGTCCGAAGGTGATAAGTGCTGTAGAGAAAAATACTGCAGGGAAGGGGCATGGGGAGTGCTGGGGGTGATCTAGAGGGCATCACTGGTGAGCAGACATGCAGCTGTGACCTGAAGGAGGAAGTCTGAACCAGGTGTGTACTGGGGAGGAGAGTAGCGAGAGCAATAAATGCAATGCCCTGAGGCTGGAGGGTGCTCTTTGCTGGAGGGACAGCAAAGAGCAGGGTGTGCAGTGATGGGCAGAGTGGGCATACAGGGTCATATCCAAGAAGGCCGAGTAGGCTTCAGTCTGAGTGAGATGGAGAACCATGGGACAACTGTAAGGAGAGGTATCATAGCATCTAACAAACAGCAGATCTCCTATATACGAACTAGTTCCATTCCCAGAGAGCGTTAGTCCCATTTCTTTCTAAGTCCAATAAAGTTAGCCTAGATACCCAACTAACACAATAGCTTATATAGTACTATACTATAATAGGTTTCACACAATAATACATAAAAAACAAACCCCCCCAAATAAAGAAAATATTTTAAATCTTCTAGTACAGTACCTTGAAAAGTTCAGTAGTATAGTACAAGAGCTGGTACTTCTTAGCGGTGCCAGCTATATCACCACTGCTTTTATACATGTTTGTGGACATCCTGGGCTTGAAATAAAGATACTACAGTACTGAAGTCTATATAGTACTCTACAGTAAAGTACAAAAGCACAGCCACCTGTGGAGGATGCACATGCGTGACAGTATTACGCCAGACATGTGAACTAACCTACATGATTGGACATGTGAATACGTGTTCGAATCTTTGAAATTTCACAACCTGAAGGTTTGTATATAGGGGACTTACTGTGTAAGAAAGTTTCCTTGGCTGCCAAGTTGAAAGTAAACTGTTGGATGGAAATAGCAAAGTGAGACCAGTTAGGAGGGTATTCAAAGAATCTAGGTTAAAGATGGTGGCAGATTGGTCCAAGGTGCAGATGGAAGGGGTGGTTAAATTCTGTATTAATTTGAAGATAGAGCCAATGGAAACTGGTGATGGATTAGGTCTGGGAAGTAACAGATGGAATTCAGGATAAAACCAGGTTTTTGACCTCAGCAACT